CGTCTACAGTGCTGCCATTAATTATGAGGAACTTAGTCATGTTAGGAGGATTCGGTTTCACGCGAGACTTGAGAAGCCGAACTATTTATATGTCTGGTTTCTTGCTACCCGAAGCTTTATTCGAGTTAGTTAAAAGATACTTTTGTCGGCATAAGTCGTTTCTGTTAGTTGGCTTAGGTACATTATGAAGTGTATACATGTTGTGATGCTCGTGATAACGTAACACCAATTTTCTCAGCTTTATCTTGAACATTTTAGAAGTATTTTGGCTCCTGTTAGCGTTATAAATAACTGTCAATATTTGGAGCAGTTCAGTCAAATCAATGCGCCAACATGTAGTATAAGTCAAAAAGCACGGTTTCAGTGTTGTTTGTAATGAAGTACAGTTCTCATGGTAAGCGTCAAATATGAGTTTCAGTGCGCCAGCATGTTTTGTTGTCTAAACTGCATGCTCTGGTACTCTGTTTCGGACTAATAGTTCAGTAATATAATGTATGGAGAATGAAATATACTTAATGAAAATTTATGGTCACTCATAAAACGCTCATGGCTGAGGTGCAACGCTATAGGGTCGAAGTTGATTGCAAATATCAAGTCAAGTATATCATTCATCCTAGTCAGCTTTCGTACCTGTTGGGCCCATTCAAATAAATCTCTAGTTTCAATCAAATTGTCATATTGTTCCGGCACCGAAGTCGAATTCCATACAATTTTTAGCAGGATAAAATCTCTTCCAATTGTTTTAAACGTGTTTATTTAGGGGGAAAGAACGGAGAATATGTTTGTTGACAATTTGTCAAAGTTATAATCCACGTGGAGTATTCGGTATACATATACTATCAGTAGATGACTTTCCGATCCGCAGTTTACGGTAGCTCAAGTGGAGTCATCATTGGCGTCACGATGTTCACTCTCAAATTTACATCTTTAAATGTTCGAACGCATATAGATAATTGTAATGCCTTCCACTTTATGACGTCTATCGAATTGAGATAAATGAGGCAGCCAAAAATGGATGCTTTGTATCACGTTTCAGTTGTGAGTATAGTGCTTTGATTTACAAGCTATTAAACAGTCTTGAGATAGCTTTTTGCACTATTTATTTTGGTTGCGGATTTGCAGTAATACGTATTAAAATTAGCGATGAATTGTTCTACAACCTTAGAAAATCATGACCTGTTTTCCTTTACATTTCTATTACGCTCATTCGGACTGGCTAAAGTAAAGCTCTCATGAGCATCTAACCAAAAGCATGAAGCACTTGTATACGTACACAATCAATTCACTAAGATAAATGGGTGCATTTCTCAAACTAAGCAATGCCAGTAATACTTATTTGACAGAAATATATGTAGCATAGACACCTGAAAACACGACTGAATAACTGGAAACACTAGGCATGTCATTGTTTCATAACGACAAAGAAACCGAACTTGGGGGCGCTGCTATCATTTACACACTCTTTTGCTTGGTGAAACATCAAGTGCACACTCGAGCGTCCATGAATCTTCATCAGTTTAAATGGTGCCCATTAATACTGTACTACCCTTCAGGACGTTGAGTTGAAATCATCTTCCGAAAGTTCACTGCTGAAACTGAGTGCGACAACTGAATGCTGAAGCTATAACTCTGCTTCAATCATTTGTGATACACTCACATCCTAATCTTCAGACAAACGTCAATCTTCATAAAGTCATCTTCATTGGACATATACAATAAGAGCCTCACATACGACTTAAGGGAGTCTCAGAGGCAAGCTTAAGAACTTGATTACTGTATTAAAAGCTACACCATCTAAATAGCGGTACTTTTCATGCCACCCATTAAGCGGAAGACCATGGGCTTACTTTCAACAACAACCAAAAGTGTAAAGTAGTCCATTTGGAAGATGTCACGAACGAAACTTAAAACTTTGATGTTTTCTCTCAATAATATGTTTTCACTTGAATTCAGAAATTCAGAAATCGCCTTATAATTAATTAAGTCATCCTAAACACTATTTAGCATCCCTCCAGTTCTTACCTATGCTGTTACAACAGAAATATAAGGTGGAATATTCAGAAATCGGATGCACAGTGTACTGAATTGCACTAAAGACAAACCTTATACTCGTTATTACTAGTTAAGTCCCAGAATTCACTAACTGTTGGAGTAGTTCAAGAAAACTACTTGGAGTCCTTCAATATAAAACTTGGTATATCCTCAGGGACTCATGGCAGTATTTCATGACAAATTACTAATATTTTCCTTCCATTTGTTAAATAGGCATGCATTCCTAAATGAGGCATCGGCTATCCAGTGGTAATAGAAACGAAAGCCTGCTTAATGAAAGCTTCTCGTATTACAGCCACAACTATTAAAATCATATGGACAGGTAACGAAAAAGTATCATCGTTCAACAATCCTCCCAATATTTTACAATCAAACAGTACCACAAGACTGCATAGTACACTCTCCCTCTCGTGACGCTGTGAGAACAAGTTGATAGTCACGTGAATGAATTTATGTAAAATTTAAGAAAAACTGCACTAACAAACGTATTGCTATCAAGGAGCATATCTATGATCAGTCAGAACAACGGAGCTTCTCCGTTACCACCAGTTGAACTCGTAACTTGTGTACATGTCTTCGGATGCTCCAAAGTACAGATGAATAGACTTTTTGGCCGAACGTTCACTAAGAGCAAGGATCAAGTCGTAGTTGTTAATGAATCTCTCCGAGAGATCGTCGCTCTACGTGGAGCTTGACATGCTATTCAACGCACAGAGAACTAAGTCAATAATATAGTACCTTGTTCAATGATGGCTGTGTTGAAATGAATCTGTGATGGTCATAGTGACCAATAAATGCACACTTACCTCCACGAATTAGATCTTTGATATATGCATACAAAATATGACCACACTGCAACACGTACTCATTTAGACGTTCAGAAACAAATCTTGAGTACGAATTATCAGTCTCATATACTGTCTACATTGTAACAAAAGATGCATTTTTCTGCTATTACTTCCTGTCTCATTCTCCCTAATCGTTTACAATTGACAACTACAATCTTGTTTATGAATGCTGTGAGCTCATTTACAAGAGTTTTGAGTGATCTTGGAATCTGAAATTGATGGTACTTTGATTATATCCTTTGCCTCAAGTTTCGGTAAACGTTGAAGATTCTTTATTGCGTTATACAGACGGAAATGTAAGTCAATGTCTGCCTTACTCCTCTCCTGAGATTTTCTCTTAAGTGTATATGTGCACTTTGCACGCCGCTGTTTGTGTGGTTACCCAGGCTTAGAACATGCCGCTAATAACAGCGAACGCACATTGACTTCCGGTCAATCCAGTTACTTCTTATGTATCCACAAGCTCGTGAGAAATGGGTTTTCAGGCACTCTCACTTCGTAGCAGATCTTAATATAGTAGATTATAAAAAAAATAAATTCGAAGTGTTAGGTCACCTGGTTCTTATAAGATATCCCAAGTGTTTGCGAAGATCGGGACCTCTGAACTACAGCAAATGATTTGTGCAGTTAGTTATCTTCCTGAAAAATACTCCTAAAAATTGGAACGTTCATAGCACTATGTCGTCATGACGGTGCCCAGACTGTACTACGGAATCCATAACAATTGTGTGTGTATTATATGTACCACACATGTCTTTGAAGTACTCGAGTAGCCTTACGACGTCTTCGCATCATTCTTGCCTGCGAAGAGCATATATAACGATCTGCTCTTGCCTATGACTGTCAGTAACGACTAGCTAGAACGGTGAGAAACTTCGAATTAAAGTTGTTATTATTCGTTACTTCCTCAAATTTGTTGTCTTGGTAAACTGAGGAAATATATACTACCTCTAGAAACTCGTGGCAGGTAGCCATTTGCTCCCTGATACTGAAACAAATTATATAAATATTCCGAACTTCTTCGGATAATTCTGTTCGGTTGGACGCGCTGTAAGATCCCGTTGATATGTTTAATGTCAAAACTCAATTAATTCGACTATACGTTTGACAACCTGGATACAAATGTGACGGAATTTTGGCAACATCGTCCTCGGTAAGCTGGTTGTGTAACTTCCAAGAAACCAGATGTAGAATGCTACGTGTTGGTGTATTACTCAACAAAGACTGTATTAAATATAATCGTTCACTTGACAACAACTGTCATCTCGAGTGATCTACAAAAACACATCCTTCTGAGGAAGAATATTTGTGCATGGTTTTAAATGAGGTAACTTTAAGCTCATCATTTGCTGCACGGACCCGAAATCCAGATTCTCAGTTGCAATAGTTTGGCCTTAAGGATAAGTTCATTCGAAGCATACGTGGATGACCGACGTAGTTTTCCTTGTCTAGGTTGTGATAGTGAGTTGGAAAGTGCATGCTCTTTGCAGGAATGCTGATCACTACCACCATTTGCATCCTGATGACAAGTATCTGGTCCCGGTATGCTGATCAACGTAGACTCGAGTCTACGCCCGAGCTGCCAACTTTGGGGAGGCTGCTATGGTAAATTTTGGGGAAATGACACAAAAACCCCAAAATTTCATCAAACGTTAGGGGAAGGCTATTTCATTTTGGGGATTTCCCCGAAATTCCCCAAAGTTGGGAGCTTGGGCGTCCATTTGTGCAAATATAGATGATGAAAAATACTTTGGAGTTGGGTCGTCTCTTTTTTGGTATACTGATATAACATACTTAGTGTGCGTATACTGTACAAAGAACTATTAATCAAGGGTGTTCTATTACCTTATGTATAGATAAGGTATACTTTCAGGCAGGTCTCAAAATTGTCCCAACCGGTAAATCCTCGCGATCGCACAATATCAGTGCAGATTCGTCCTATATTGTACATCGTTATTTTAAGATCATCTCCGTCACTTGAAGGATAGAGGTTATCAAACAGTGAGGCTAAACCCAAATCAAATTTGGGGTTACTTTGATTTAACCGCATCTGCTAGACCTTATGAATTGTCGAGGTGACGCACCAATGGTTTTACAGCAGTTTGACCTTCAATTGCTCAGTAACCTCCACGATGGACGATGCCACTGGATCATTGACTTTTCAGTGCACGGATTGATTAAAGTTAGTAGTATTTCTGTTTTCCAGACAAATTTACCAGTCTTCTTTCTAATATCATTTTCTAACTTCATGCAATGGTCAATTTTTTCACCACTTAAGATTGTTCTAAAATTTCTAACCACTAATATACTAGTGGTTAGTCATCTAGGTAGATGACCTTTTCCAGGGTAATTTCCCAAGTAAACGAAATAGGAAATAGAGGCAAACTCAAGGAAAATCTTTGAGATAATCCATATGCATATAGAGGACTAAAAATAGAATTGTGTGGGTTTACCCCTTTCGCTTTATGTTTGAAATGTTGCCGAATTTCCTCGTTTCGTCTGGCCACAAATGTTCTCCATGTTCGCCCTCATTTCCACTTCAAAACAAAGGTTTGATCGCATTTTGATTTCGCTTGATCAATTGTAAAAACATGCTGTGCAGAAACCTTTATTAACTGGAAATAACAGTCTGCAGGTAGATTATTAGCAAATAGATGCTCGTCACGCATTTTCATTTGGTGAATGAGGAGTACTGAGATGTTAGCATTCCTTCTTGGATCTGTTTCCATTTAATTTCCACCATTTTGATGTAAACCATGATGAATGACAGACCGACCCCACCCGGTTTCAATTACCAATACATTCAGTGTTTTATCCTACCTCAAGTTTGCTGTTATTTACGATGTAGATAAATTAAATGTAATGCGTTATTCATTGTGTCATAATTGCTAAGTGAATATGAAATCAGACACGCTATAACAATATACACGTAATTAGTCTCACCGTACTACATCCAAGTGAGGAAGTAAATGTATGGTAAGAGTTTTATTAAGAAAATTAATTTTAACATAAAAATAAATTTTAAAGACCCCCACCCCTCATATTGAACTGCAGTGTTACTATCCTGAATCAAAATAATCCTCTCGTGAATTTCGAAGTATAATAAACCAACATATACAACAATGTTTAACTCCCATCCTTTTTTAAAGTGAAACTGACGGTGATGTTCGTTAATGCTGAACACTGAACCGATAGAAAGGTTATCGTTTGCAATTAGTACTCACATTTCCTATTTTCTTTCCATGACACTTTTGTAATGTCTCTCGTTCCATGGAAATGCCCTTGCTTCGCGACGTTATATAGTTTGGCAGGTTCTTCCTACGTGACGGTGAAAATAAGAACCGTGATTTTGGCATACCTAGTTGGGAAGAAAAAAACTTCGTGTGTTATTGTAAAACCTGCACTTCTGAGGCGATCTTTTCGATAAACTGCCAGATAGTCAGAAGTGTCTGGCGACTTCAGGTTTTATGACGTATGACAAGATATAGCGCATGGGGTTTTTAGGATTATCATCTATTAATCGCATCACCATGATCGTCTACAGTGTGAAGTAACAATCTAACGAATTCAGTAACTTGCAGATTTGTCCCTTATGTCTTCTTGCTAAAGACATGTATCTAACGTTTGAAGTTTCTCTTCAGATGACAAAGGGAACTGAAAAATTGATAGTCCAATATCAAGTTTCCGTGAATGTTCTTGCTGACCTACTCACGTCTAGTGAAATGCATAGAAGTGCGTCTTCTCATTAGGGCATGATCTCGTGTGTTGTTAAAGGTGTGAGAGCACTTATCACTTCTCAGTTGCTCACACCATAGAAAGATGCTTCTTATTGAGAGACCTGAAGAACAAACTGGATTAGTGACAGTCTTAGCGTGATCTCAAGGCCCATGGGACATCGTCTTAAAACTGGTCACACACGACCGTCTTGTGGCAAGCGTCTTATTTGTTAGCTTCAAAAGGTACTACCACAGGAGATGGCGATCCGTGGGGCAAGGTGCTTACGCTTGTTACCCCTCATGGAGGAGCATAGGTCGCTCACCAGCATTCTCCATCCAACTCTATCCTGAGCAATCCATTCCAGCTGCTATTGGTCCTTTGTGACGTCTGCTGCCAATTCTCGACGCAGTATGTTATTTGAGCTTCATCTTTTTCCTTTTTCTTCAGGATTCCAAGTTAGCGCCTGCCTCGTCATGCAGTTTGATGATTTCCTCAATATGTGTCTTATCCACTTCCAACGTCTTTTCTTAATTTCCTCCTCATCTGGAAGTTGGTTTGTTTTTTCCCACATTGGGCTGTTTCTGATGGCATCTGGCTAACGAACATTCAGTATTTTACGTAGACAACTGTTTATAAATACTTGTATGTTTTTTATTATGGTTGTGGTGATTCTCCAAGTTCCAGATCCATACAGTAAGACTGTCTTGATGATCGTATTGTAAATATTATGTGATATACGTACGGTCGGGCTTTTCTAACCCCTTCCGTTGTAACAGGCTGGCGTCGCTATAGGTGTTTCTTGTCTGATGCAAACGCCTCAGTTATCACACTTCACGGTCAACAGCATAACATCAGACCGCTAGCTTGCTGCTCTTAGTCTTACTGTCCCCCCAAATGATTTTCTGGAGTAGCAGGACATAAAGAAAAAAGTATTCCAGCCAATATAGATCAACTGGAATATTACTATATGCAAGCCTGATCACAACGTTAAGGAAGCAGATATGGTTGGAAAACAGTAACGAGGTGGGGTACATGAACATAGTTTACAACTCTTTGAACCAAGAAGACGAATGGCTTCAGATACGAAGTTTAGTTCAAGAAGATTGATTTTATGATCAAGTGGTTGCCGTAGACTTCATAAGCGGAATGATCACAAATTAGTATCACTTTTGATGATAACAAGAGTGGAGTGGTAAAGTGCGTATAATTACAGAAACAAGTATTTAAACTGTACATTTTAGTAACTTATTTTCCACTAACTATCTTTTTGCTTAAGTACCAAATAAATTTAATTGTCACTCTCTATTAATTTTAGTTGAGTAGTCTTCAATTTATTCTTGTGGACGAGAACGCTTATAACGTAGACCACTTCTTATAATGGTTATGAAGCAACGTTTAAAACTTGATCCGAAAGTAAGTTTTTGATTGATCTATTACAACGAATTATATAAGCTGTTTTTAGCTAAATTAAAGGGAAATCGTAAGAAAACTTTTAGTATGGTGGAGAAATTAGCGGAACACTCCGTTTTATTCAAACAACATGCCAAAGAACTTTCCAATACAGCAAAAAATCTTATCTCTGTTATGAAATCTACAGATGATCATACAGTTTATCTTAATTCCTTAGTGGAAACAGAACTCATTATTTTCTCGTTGAATGTCATGTTAAAATCATCAGGAGCTCGTCATATTTTAGTTGAAAAGGAATTGTTTGCCTCATTGAATGAATTAGATCAATCACTTAACAGTATTTCACCTCCATTTAATGATGCAACTTTGAGAGAGCTGTCAATACAGCACCAAAATCGAGGTATGTTATGTTTAAATATCACGCTTAATCTGATCATTTGAAGTAAGGCAGTTAATACAATTGATAACTTCATTTACCTTGTAAATCTCCTCAGTCCTGATGACCTGGTGTCTGAGGAAATCTCAACTAAGACCCCGAATCCTCAGTCTGCTCTTTTGAAATTCCCTATCCTATGGCGTAGGCGGGAAATCCGTCCGTATTTTAAGTAAAAGTATACCGTGGAGCCAAACACTGAGTGAATTAGAAATTAGTTTGTGGGAAACTAACACAATATTAATTTATAAAATCATTGACTGTTGGTATGAACCTTGGTGTGTAAAAGCTACCACGTAGTTAATGTTTCTCACTATTTATTTGATATTGTGTTGTAACCCCATTCTTTGTGTAACCGGACTATAGAATGGCGCTAAGCATATAGTATTGAATAAAGCTATTGGACATAATCGTATTTCTCTAAATTATTTTACGTTGTGGTCGGGTAAATCAACTATTTATTCATGTATCGCAATACAGAATTAGGGTAGAAAATAAGATGCAAAATATTGTTTAAATTACCATAGCTTCGGAACAAAAAAGGGTATGGAAATGAATGACACATCGAACGAAAGCTCATGTTCTGTAGAATAAAATAGGGACACAAATAAGTGTCAGTGTTTTACAAGCCTTGAATAAAATGAAATAACGTCCCGAAAAATAGCTTTCGTAGTTTTTCAGGGCTTCTTGTTTCCCTGTTCACAACATCTTCCCCCTTGACAAAAAACATATTATAACGGCCACTTAACTGAGTGCATAGATAGGTGAAACTACTTGACGTTGTGATCCTTGTGAAGCGTGATCAGTTTGATAAAAACAGCATAGTTTGTCTTGAAATGCACCTGCATGCTCTTGTTGAAGATGATTCATGTGAGATGCAGATGACATTTGAGAGGAAACAGACGACTTTGGTGTGGACATAACATTAGAACGAAATACATGAGATTCTGAAGTCTTACCAGAGCATACTTTGTCTGAGGCATTCGATTTGAGATCATTATGAAGACATGTTATATCGGAGGAATTCGATTTGGCATCATCATGAGAACACATAACATTGGAAGTATTTGTCTCAGAAATATTACGAGAACATTTGAAGCATTTAATTCATGAATATCAAGGGAGCATGATACATCGGAGGCATTTGATTTAGAAATATCATTAGGAATTTGGATAAACTCAGAGGAAACATTTTGAATACATACCTCATTTAATAGTTTATTCAAGGTATCGACATGCTCAATCCAGTCTAATCCTAATAAATCTAAATCGTGCCGATTTGTAAGATACCAAACATCCGTGAACTTATTTCCCACGAATTGAACATTGCATATGACTTCTCCTGAAGCATTACGAGCAACATGCGTGGGCATCCTACCTTACGCCATGTGTTTTGGGAGATCAATGTAACATCGGAAGGCGTACAAGTCTTTCATTCACTAATAAGTCTACGTATTTCCGCTTACTTTTAAAACCAACTTCGAATGTCGCGAACGTGCTTTTAATTTGACTTTGTGGTCGTTGCTTCGAATTTCCACTACGATATTTAGACTTGCGTTTAGTTTATGAACAATGACCTTCTTTATGACCAATGCGATGACATTGGCGGCATTTGTAATTCTTAAACGGACAAAGTTTCGCAAAATGCCATGCTCCACAGAACCAACATGGTGATGGGGCTTCGGCAGAAGGTTGCTTTGTGTTTGTAGTGCTTTGTTTCGACGATTTTGAGGATCTGAGCGCATTAATTGAACCAAAATCGGAAGACTTAATCTTCTGTTGCACCATCGCAGTATCATGCTTGAGATTTAGCGACCGTTAACCCTCGGTTGTGACCATTTGTAGTGTCATGTTCGGTTCTTGTTCAATACGTACTAACATTCTGGTACGGATATCTGCATCTTCTATATTATTTAAACCACATATAAAAATCAAGCATTTGAATTGGTCTGCTGTGATCTCGTTTATTTTAAAACGTTCGCATTCTCGATTTACTTTCACAACATATGTGAGATAATCGTCGTTTGGAGATTTTGATATTTGAAAACATTGATAGCGAGTATTAAATAATAAGGATTGTTCACCGAAAATGTCAGATAAGATCTGGACTGTCTCTTTGAAAGATGATAAATCTCGCGGATTTTGTGGTAAGATGAAATTCACATATTTGTTGTATTCACGTGTTCCAAGTCTTCTCAAGAGCAAGCGAACTTTAGCTGCGTCGTCAAGATTTGAGCATTCGACGCGGAATATGTCTTCACAACGATGAGATCAGGAACTGAAAATGATACCAGATTCAGGATCATAATAGGATTCAGAAATAGAATTTGCGATGCATTCATACTTATCTGATTGATAAGTTGAGGATGAATGTAATGAGAGCATCTGCGCCAGTGCATCCCAAAGCTTCATTTGATTTGCATCATTTTGTTCTGAATCAATCAATATAGAAAAAAAAATCTTCGTCGCCACTTTGTTATGACCTTGACTCGTCGTCTGCTCTGGATTAAGACCTTGACGCATTAGGCTGACCGGTTTAACCTTGAGGCTAGTACGCGTGAGTTCGAGGTTGGGTTGAGAGATGAAAACTATTCCAGCATCTGATTGGCTGGCAAGCACGCAAATGTGAGGACGAGACTGTTGGGATACTATTGGCTGTATTGCGATATCCTGATTTCCTGTGAAATCTCTGAATTCTGATTAGTGCAAAAAGGTACATGAATAAATAGGTGATTTACCCGACTACAACGTACAATAATTTAGAAAAATACACTTATGTCCAAAGCTGAGAATTAGAGTAGAAAATAAGGTGCAAAATATTGTTTAAATTACAATAGCTTCGGAACAAAAAGGGGTATGGCAATGAATGACATATCGAACGGAAGCTCATATTCTGTAGAATAAAATAGGGACACAAATAAGTGTCAGTGTTTTACAAGCCTTGAATAAAATGAAATAACGTCCCGAAAAAATAGCTTTCGTAGTTTGTCAGTGCTTCTTGTTTCGCTATTCACATCACTATTTATCCACATATATACATCTATGTGCCTTGATTTGGCATGATTACTAATTATCTTGGTGTACTGTTATCACTGTTTCTGTCGCGTTTATTGAAGGATTGAAGTTACTTTCTTGTGTTTTTTTGTAAAAATCTAGAAGTTGAAAATTGTTTATTAAGTAAAACTGGTCTTTTTTACTGTCTTTTTTTAACAGATCAGCATAATTCGATTGAACGAGGTCCGGGTCCAGTGGGAATTTTAAATGACAGTAATGATATTAAATCAAGTGTAACTAATCCTAATGAAGAAGATTGTCAAATACCATCTCATGTTAATAATAATAATGTTATTAAAGCTGATTGCAGCTCCTCTACTGAGCAGTCAAAACGCAAATCTTTAAAACGTGTGAGAAAGCTTAGTAGTAATAATGAGGAGTGTTTGACCTGTAAATAAATCAGTTTTTACATGATCATCTTTTCTTGTTTTTATTATCTTATACTACATGTTTCGACTGTGATCAGTAGTGTTTCCTATTTTGAATACCTTAATAAATCTTTGAATCAGTTGGTTCACTCAGTGTTGAATCACAAATTGACTGTTAAGTAATTAACAAGTAGTTACTTCAGTATATCATGAGAACCAACTGAACTCTCAGTTCTTCATTGGTCTACAAGGTTGTAAATTATGCTATCTATCAATCGGTAAAGCGTGTTCCTGGTATAATCTATTATTCGAAATAATATCAAGATATTCGAAATGCGATCTTTATAATTCTTATACATTCCACTACAGGGATAACATTCGTCATTAAGGTGTACCTGGAAACTTGACGAAATAGACATAACATCTATAATTCGAACCGGGATCACCCAGCTTTATGGTAGGGGATGTTATCGCTACTAGGGTATTCAGGGCGCGATTGATGTCCTTTAGTAACAAGAATATCTACATCCGTTGGTTACTTTTTTGATTGAATTCTGTTGATCAGCACTAAAGGCTATTCGAAGATTATATTGATCACTATTTAATAGTCAGTTTGTGAATTTCACATGCTGATGATATACTAGATATACTTTTTTTAATCGCGGTAAACCTGACAATCAGGCACTAAGGCTCCCTGTTATTATCACTTATTATTTAATATAAAAGATACCAATCAGCTCATGAATAAGAACATGTCCTCTGGGACTGGTTAATTCGGTCGTGTTGATATGGTGATATGGAGCAAAATATTGGATGAAGACATGAGAGTATGAGATATGTATAACGTGAATTGTATCAATTATCTTGGAAATTTTATCAAGTAAGCTTAAGTTGTTTTCGCTGTGTTCATAATATTTGATCGCTCAAGTGTGCACCTCGATCTCATTAATCTATGAACTGTACAATGTCCTTTTCGATCTACCGACTACATAGTGTAGTAGAAATATTTTGAATGCAATCCCTCTGTCTTATAGCTGTGGTTGAATGTTAATCATAAGCAAAGCATATACTAGCGCGTATGTTCATCAGTTCAAAATCTAAAAGAAGACTGTTCCTGCTTCATTGCAACTGACCTTGAGCCTTGTCAATCAGTCTCCAAACATTGGTCCCAGTAGTTTCTCAAACCAATATCAAGTAGTCTACACCTACCAACACCACTTAGTTTAACTGCCAATGACTTCACGGACTGTTGCCATCTTTCATCCAACTTACATAAGCAAATATCACCTATCAAGATAGGCAACGGTTGATGGTCTTACGTTATGTATTAAAATTGTTAGTAGGTTTTGTGTAAAGCGAATAACACAGTTTTCTAGTTAGTATTTTATTTCTAGTAGTAGGTGTAGATTGATGAAGTGTTGGCTGGGTTCAGAGGTAGTACAAACCAAAAATCTGTGCACTGCACAGGCCTTAGGAATTGATTGGTTTAAGCGTGACTTCTTGTTCAGGAGCATCATGAGCTACCTCTCATTCTACCACGATCTTAATACGTCTAATTTTTCAAACGGTCATTCCTTGTTGATATCATCGAATTTTTATGTATGTGGCTGTCATCTCCAGGTTTTCTGTTCCTCCCCGTATCTACGTTCTCATCAAGTGAACAATTATCCCTAGTTCCTTCAACCCAGAAGCTGTTTATGTCTTGTTATCTTTCTTTAACCTTGTAGATCGTCACGCAACCCGCTTATGATAATTGAAGCTAAATTAAAATCTTTACAAAAATACAAAGGTTACGTTATTGTAAATATTAATATACTTGTTACAACTTAGAGAATGAATAATTTGAAAGATGTAACCTTTATGTAATTGGTGCTTTAAATAGCTAAGAAGTGAGATTTGCATGATTCTAGGAAAACGAAAAAACGTGCGGCAGATGTAGATTTCACTAATCTCCAGAAAAACAACGAAAGCCTTGACTAAACGCACTCATTTAACAGGTAGATTTGACTATCGTTTGATGAATAACCAAGAAAAATCATACGTAACTGAAATAAACGGAATAAAAAAACCGATCTTACGTAAATACTGCGTGTTATACTGAGTAAATATTACATTAAATTAAAACATGATCTCGCGTTTTAGTCAGTCTTAACACAAAATTGTAGTGAAGTTGGAAACAAGGTTTCTATTAACTGAGTACTTATTCATGAAAAAAATCATTCGAAGATAGCATGTCGTTTTTTTAAATTATAGTCGTAGAATTTTCTGTCTCTGACTGACATCACACAAGTAGAAAGAATGTAGGCTACTCCGCATCACTTGTAACGATAATTAATGTAGATTGACTTTGTTTGTAAGTAGTTTCTTTATTATTTATATTTCACATACTCTGACTTTATTTGCACAATTCTTGTTATATACATATACGGATATATCCTTGTGACTTGACTCACTCATTATAAAACTAACATGATTGCATCATTTGTGCAAATTTAACTGTCATAAACATGTGTTAAATGGTAGTCGTCTACCATGATCTTGTTACAAAAGTCCTCTTGTGACAATCACAGAGGAATCAGTTTGACTAATATAGTGTCTAAAATATTAGCCTCAATAATACTTCGACGCCTAATCAAAGTTCGTGAAGAGCAGATTAGAGAAAACCAGGCCGGTTTTCGACCTGGACGTGGTTGTATAGATTAAATATTCACACTACGTCAGGTTCTAGAACACAGACACACATTCAGATGCCCCACAATGGTAGTATTTCTCGACCTCAAGGCGGCATTCGACTCTGTTGATCGTGAAGTTCTATGGCAGTGTTTATCACTGAAAGGAGTACCAAAGAAGTACATTAACCTTGTGAAGGCTCTCTACTCGAACACAACTGGTAGAGTGAGATCTTATGGCGAACTGTCATCAGAATTGATTATCTCAAGTGTTGTTCGTCAGGGCTGTCCACTCTCTCCATTCTTGTTCAACTTTGTGGTCGACGCACTTTCAGAGATAACACTCTCCTCATCTAAATTTCCAGGGGTTGAACTTCTACCAGGAGGTTCACTTGTTCACTTAGAATATGCTGATGACATAGTTTTATTTGGTGAAGACGCTGACAAAGTGCAGAGTCTTCTGATCACTCTAAGCATCAATGCAAGCATGTTCGGGATGCGATTCTCTCCCTCGAAATGCAAAATATTGCTTCAGGATTGGGTTGCATTGACACACGAACTAATGATACGGAGTGAAGCAATTGAGCGTGTCGATCGCTTCACTTATCTTGGATGTCTCATCAGCCCTTATGGTCTGGTATGTGACGAAATCTCAGCACGGATATAGAAGGCTCGACTAGCTTTTGCTAACTTGCGTCATTTATGGCGTAGGCGAGATATCCGTCTATCAACCAAAGGACGTGTTTACTGCGCAGCAGTTCGTTCCGTCCTACTTTATGGCAGTGAAACATGGCCGGTAAGAGTAGAGGATATTCGTAGGTTACTAGTATTTGATCATAGGTGTCTTCGAAGTATTGCTCGTATATCATGGAACCATCGAGTAAGTAACACAGTTGTTAGGAAACGGGTACTAGGTAAGGATGGCAAATCAATTGATGAAGTAGTGAAACTTCATCAGTTGAGATGGCTAGGACACGTGTTACGTATGCCCAACGACCGACTGCCTCGACGTGCGATGTTCAGTGGTATAGGAGTAGGTCGGAAGGAATCTAGGGGCGGCCAGACCAAAACATGGCACAAGTTCATGAAGTCACTGCCAAGTGGTCTGAGTCATGTTGGTAGGTGTAGACTACCTGGTTGGGGACCGCGAGATGATAGCAACCGATGGTTAGAGACCCTGAATGACATGGCTCAAAATCGTTTGCAATGGCGCAGGTGCATACACTCTTTGTGTTTTCCCGAATTCTAATCTTCTGAATTCTTCATGTCCTTTTTTACCTCTTTCCAAATTTATTTCACTGGATTATACTCTTTAAATAACATTTCCAAACCCTAATCTTCCCGATCACTGCGTACACTCTTGCTACCTCTACCACTACGGGATTCGGATCGACAACTGCATCTCTGTGTTAAAGTGGTGTGGCAACTTGAACTGATGTACGTACGTACGAAGTTCCACGTTGTGACTGACTGACTGACTGTTACCTGAGACGTTAACTTAGTCTCAATTTTTACAATCTCGAGCAAAATAGCTTGAAGACAAATTATAATATAGTTCATTTTGTCAAGAAATAAAACGAAAACTATTTTTAGTTGAGTACTCTATAGGTGAGAAAAAAAAATTAAAAAAAAGAAACATGTATACGAAATAAGAGAATGATCTGATCCGTAACAAACTCTACGTTATAGCTATCAATTCGACATCCTATAGCACATGAATGAAGTTAAGTATGAAAATCAATTCGAGATTTAAATTCTTCTGTAAAGTTCAATACAGATAGATCACTAAAGACTGATTAGTTAAATGAAATCAGAGAACGAAAAAACGAACTTTATTTAACTAGGAAATTATTGACGTTTCAGTAGGTCAATCATAATAAAATCATATTCAGAAGGAAAAAATAATAATAACCAAGATTCATTAACAGAATACTAAATATTTAGAAGATTCACAAAACATTAAGGAATAATTTCAAGTGAATAACTTATTTGAAGAGTGGTGAGAGTAAAATTTATGGACGACTTTTGAGCGATGCTAAAGTAACCATGAGACTGTTCACCTGATAACTAGGACTAAATGAGGGTTATAAACCTGTGTGAGAACTTCGAATCGTGATTCACAGTTGACGTTTAAGGTTAGGAATAACATTTATGGTTTTTATCACGAACTAACATCAGCTATAATGCCGAAACTTTATTTTGCCAAATTGATGAGTGAATTTCGCACCAAAATCTAAGACCTGTTATCGTAAATCTGATCGGTTTGTCCATAAATTATAGTCTCGCCTGAAGAGTATAACTATGTAATTGAGGATTTGCAAATGCTCATCCATAAAACAAGTATGTATCGTTATCTTGCATTGTGTTATAATAATGTTTAAATCTCAATAGATAATGATCTTTATCATCAGTATGATATACTGTGAATAGTCTGCATATCTTGAATACACACTAATATTTGGTAGGATTTCAATATCATTTACAAGATATTTCAGTTTATTTTAACATCAGATATATGAATACAACTGTACTGATGTGTATTTATTTGTCAAAACCATTATAAATGTGATCAATCCTCCGATATTCAAAGATATATTTCATAAATTTTATGAAACCTTACTTGGAGAAAGTTATTATTCGTACAGTGTATTGTATTAGATTTATACAATTGCTGTGGACAACTACAGATTTAATCTTTACAATGGTCACTTTACAATATAATACTAAACTGTCTGAATTATTAAATAATCACATTTTTTTAATTTAATGTACACAATTAAATTGTGTTTAACGCGAGAGCCAATGATACTACTGATTATTGACTAATTAAAATTAGCTTAAGTAGATCATGTAATTGTAATTGCGATCTATCAACCGAAAGCTAAACGCTCAAATCATTTCAAATATTCACTTCTCTGTATGTTTTTTTAATAAATGGGTTAAGAAGCTTACTGTACAACAGTAGCATTAAAGCAAAAGTACACAATCAAGAAAATACTGTTACCAAATTCACTGAAAATGAAAGACTAGAAACTTAAAACAATTTAGCTAAAAAATTGAAGAGTATCAGAATAGATTGAAAAACAAACAAAGGACGAATGAAAGAAATTAAAGACATGGCTACTGTTTTCTTTAGAAGCAAATGTTATTAATCAATAAATAAGAACTTTTATCTAAATTTGATCAGATAGTTCCACAATATTTAGGCGCCGAGTTGATGTGAGACATTAAAGAGGAAGAATGTTATTATTGATTATTTCTTGTGATTAACATGCAGTTACGAAGAAAACAAGTCAAAGTTTATCACATAATTAATGTCGTGTCATATTTATTTATTTTAACGCATAGATATTGGTACAAGGAGGCACCAAATACATATGCGCCACACAAATCTCATTCAATATGTGTGAGGGCTGTGATACTCTCCGGGTGCCCAAACCGAAACAGGTGCTTTTCTTAGGGGGCCACTCCCCGAGCCTTCGACCTGAAGGTCTGATCCACAAGGCAGCGGAGTATCGTGAGGAGATGCAGTCCCCTGGTACCAGTGACCAACGATTGGTTCATACGCCATTCGTTCCCTCAGGATACTGGAGCCCATGTGCACCATTGGTTTCGAATCCGGTTAAAGCGCCGGACACTCGCCTTTCGTCCTCTCATTTTCGTTAACAATACCCCCGCTACGAGAAGGCAGTTAGTAGGAATTCCCTGGCGGAGGCTATATACGCGTGGTCATATGAGAGCGTACTCTCCCCACTCTCGACCGCACCAGGGCATTTAGGGGCATGTTGTGCCATATCAAAAAAGTTAATAAACATTAGAAAAATTGCGGTTTTAGCAATTTGTATTTGATTTATTAAAATGAAGTAATCATTAGTTGTATGGTATACTGTTGACAATATGTTTATCAATTGTAAAATGAATTCAGTTATACATGTTTAGGTTTAATAATTTGTAGTAATAAGTAATAATAGATATTCTATAAGATAAATGGAATGTAACTACCTAAACGTTTCGTCCTATTTTGGACATGTCATCTGAATGTACCTGACTCTTGGAGTTGATGTTCACTGAAAGGTGCACAAACCCAGGACCATTTACTTCAAACATTCATCGCGTTTTCAACTGAATCCATATAACCAACTACTCATATCTATAACAGTTATGTATTTTATTCCAATTTGTAATGGTTTTTAAATTATCTTATTATTGAATGATCAAAATCTAGTAAAGAAATACCAACGAGATAAACCAACAACTACTTCACACTGAATGACAATTGGTAGTTCTGTCTTTTATGACTAATTTAAATGAAGTTTAAGAAATGATCCAATGATTAAACATTACCAATCTAATCATATCATCCATCTTAGTCATTTTATTAATAAACTGGGACATCTTACAAAAAAAAAGGGTAATTATCCTTGTTAAGCCAATTACAAGAACTTATATTTAGTACAATGACAAGTATATTTTCATACACTAATTACTTAATTCGGTACTTCAATTGACTTCATTATTTATTCTTTAAACTAAGCAGTTCAAACAAATGAATCACTGATATCTTCTTCTTTTTTTTAAAAAAAAAAAGCACATGCAGTGTGATTTTCAACTGGATATTTTACTCGGATATTATATTGTTTAATTACATACATAGATTTGCTTCTTTTTCCTACTAATTTCGGGTGCACAAAATCAATTTTCTATTCACAATTCATATAAATGCTGTTAGTGAATAACAATAAATAAAAAAAAAGAGAACAACATTAGAATACGGTTCTTTCTACATAATAATCTGTACACATTTCAATCATACAAATATCCCATATATATATATATATATATATATATATATATATATATATATATATCAACGATTTGATTCAACATTGATTAGCAAAAGCAATTCCGAATAATCTTTATAAATATGTACATATTTAAATGAGATTTATAATAAATACTATGAAAGTATAACTATTTTCTGCATTCTTTTCTATTACTTAAATGATAGAATTATTTTTAATACAATGATGATTTCTTAACCATATATCAAATGCTTCATGACATGCACGTATAAGACATTCAGGTGAACAAAATAATCCATCTAAACGTGGATCATCTAGAACTGCAGGTTTTGTACATGGACAAAATGGTAAGAAATTTTTTTTATCATCAATACTATTGTTAGTATTATTATTATGATGATGATGATAATGATGATTGGTAATAATAGTTGTATTATTGGTTAAAGTATCTGATTTCAAGGGAAGGAATGTAGACAAAGGTAGATCATCATCTTCATCAACTGAATTTATATTATTGTTTTCCATAATATCTGAATCATCAGATGAAGAGAATGAAGCCTGAAATATGAATAAAATGTAGAATTTGTGAGATATAATAATAGGTAAATTCAGAAAAAAAAGGAAAAGAACACTGAATGGATAAATGAATATAGCAAAAATGAACTATTCGAAATCATTTGATATTAAACACGTTCCACATATGTGTCCGGTTACAGAACTTACACTAAATGGTGTATTTCAAACTGGAGTATCCATATATTTACTTGATTAGTGATATGAAGCACACAACAAATAATTCAGGTGCTTAATTTGTGTACCGCTTTCCACCAATAATGAAAACAAAGACCGGAAATATATATTTTACATTTAACTTGATTACAAACCCAGAAAGATGGTGTTAAAATAATACGTTTTAATTTGGATGGAAGAAATCATAATAAATTTAAGACAATTAAACATTATCTAGGATTGATTCTGATTACAAATGTATTCTAAATAAATTATAATTATGTATCGCCTAAAGCTATTTGCAACATTCTTATATTCTTAGTATTAAATCTTGAACTGACCTTAGCTAAACCACCAGTAAAAACTTGGAGGCACTAGATGACTGTTTTGTCCTGGTGTAGGACTCCTCAACAGCTCATGACTTAAAACTGTGAATATACTACAATTCCCTCAAGTGATTTTTATATTCATTAAATGTGTTGTACTCAATACTTCTGATCATTTTTTTTAGTTGAGTGCTTAGAATTACAGAGTTATTATCATTAAAAATATCATCTTAAGCCGTAATTTTTAGTATATGAAATTTCCATCCAGTGGATTTGGTTATACTGCCACATTAAATGTGTCTGTAGAAAACAATTCTACATAACTCCAACCTATTCTAACAAATTTTAGAAAATGTACAAGTCATTATACTTGGAATAGTAAATTAAACTTTTAAATATGATTGTGTGATTATAACCAGATAGTCTGATAATGAAATATTTAAAAAATATTAAACAATATATTTCGACCAATCTTTAACAAAATTGATGATAAGTTGTGTATTAATCATATTAAGTTATGAATGAATTGTGAAAGTGAATTATTGAGTTCTACAGTCAGTCAATCAGTAACAACGTAGAACTTTGTACGTATATACATCAGTTCGAGTTGCCATACTACAATAGAATATAAAGAAATTAATTAACTTAAAGTAATGAAGAGAAAAATTAATCATTGATACAATTCAAATATATCAACTCAGATCATTAGACAAATACAGTGTTCATTACAAATTAGATATAAGGATATGAGTGAAGTCGTAAATGGAGTTGTATATATGAATAGTTGGATTCCGCAATAAAAATCTATGGGGATTACAGGAAGACCTGAAAGTTTGTTCATTGTATTTTTTAAGTGAAATGAATCAAGTGAGTGCAGCTTTGATTAATTAACTCGACAACATCATCAACATTCAAATTACGTTGACAGAGTTAAAAATGAATCAATCTATAGTCATTGACATTTAATTTATTGCTAGACAAATCTTATAAAAATCACTTTTTATCAAGTATTCAAACTAACTGAGTTGGAATCGTAATTGTTTTATTATTGTGATCTGTCTGAACTTTGAAATGTGAACTAGTGTGAAGATCTCAACTCATAAGTCTGTAAGTATGTTGATTTTTGTAACAACACTATGTTGAGTAAAAGTTTGATCCCTGAAGATAATGTAACTTTTCATAATTTTATTTGAAAATCAAATACAGTAATAAACAACAGTTAATATGACGTGTGTAAAATAGTATCATTCAACGTGTGCTAATTTGAATCGATACATAGATGTACTACGTTCTATGTTTCATAAGACTGACCAATATATAAATACCACCATTAGTATAATTGTGAGCTGAAATTTTAGAAGTATGGGTTTAAAATTTATATCAAGAAATGAACTATCATACACCTTTTCCTTTAGATTATTACTGAAATGATGATTACTGTAAATAAAATAACCCTTTATTTTTAAAGGAGAGAACAAAACACTAGACAATGTATGTTAACTGTAAAACTAGAATTTCAATAAGCAAAAAAAAAATAGTTTCGCTAATTAACACACAATAAATACGTGAAAGAAATAGGAACTAAGTTTGAGTAATGACAATTGCATTATGTCAAACAGATTTTAACCTTACGAACTAATAAATTGGAAACCCTAGTTGTTAAATTTTATTATTTACAAATGGATAACTTTAGACATGTACACAGACAAAAAAGCGAATATATAATTAATAAGTAAATCACACTTGAAACTTGTACCCTATCTAGTTGTGTGTGGAATGAGGGATAAAATCTGTTACTTATCTATAATGGACACTGATCATAAAGAAATGATAAGAAATAGACTTTTCAGTTATATAAATGACTCAGCCTCTTGAAAGTTAAGTTCAAAGGGATATTCCGGATACTATTAATGAAGTTAATTATGATAACGATTAGTAATTTTTCGTTTCACTATGAAGAAAAACTCACTGGGAAAATATAAAATTCGTGTACGATAATTAAGTTGTATAATTATATTCGAAGAATACTACTTAAATACTGAATATAAGTCAGTTTATTTAACACATAAACATTGAAACAAGGAAGCACCAAACAGATATGCGCCACATAAATCATTCGATTTATGTGAGGGCTGGGGTACTAACCGGGTGCCCAAACTGAAGCAGGTGCTTTTCCTAGGGAGCCACACACAGAGCCTTTGGCCTAAAGGTCTGATCCACAAGGCAGTGGAGCAACGTTAGGAGATGCAGTCCAATGGTAGCCGGTGATCAACGATTGGTCTGTACGCCATTAGTTTCTTTAGAATCCTGGAGCCCATGTGCACCATTGGTTTGGGATCAGGGTTTTTCAACTTCCCTAGATGGATCCTCCGTATCCGCTAACACGTTTAGAGTGCCAGACATTCACTTTGTAAACCACACCCCCGCCACGAGAAGGCAGTGAGTAAGACTTCCCTGGCAGTAGTTGTATGCACATAGCCACTTGAGAGCATTTTGAGAGGGAGAGCTGACTCTCCCCACTCTCGTCCTTACCAGGGCAAATACAGATTTGAACACAAGTTTTTCATGTAGGCTTACTACATCAGGACCAAAGACACTATTCGACTAAATAATGAAGATGAAATACATTTAGAAGTTGTGACTCACAACACACTCACATACAACAGTTCAACATAGTGTTAATTGTAGGTAGTTGAAAGGAATCGCTTGAACTGATTTTTTTATCAGTAATGAAAACGTAACTGCAACCTCGAGGTAACTGATGCCCTCTGCCAGAGTCTAGCACACACCATCCAGCTTACAATTCGAGACTTTAACACAGGGATATTTGGGTCGTGACTAACCTACTGTACCACTGGTATTTGCAATTGATTGGTCACTAATCAGTGAACAATCAATCTCATAAAGCTGTATTTTGAGATGCGATTCGATTATTAGGACATATGAATACTCCTTGCAAGATATAGGATACATCTTTCTGATAAGCGTCATTGAGTACAAATACTGATTTGTTTCTTGTGCACTATACCGACTTAATCAACGCACATCAAATAATACAGGATCAAGCTGACATGCTGTTTAGCTTAATGACCATACAATATATTCCTTAGTGTAAAAAAATATATCGTAAAAAAGGATGATAGCATTATGTTAGTAACTACATTGTGACTAGTGATTGCTAACTTTAGAATGTTCGATACAAGTCATACCATACTTTGTAGTTACACCAATTGATCATAATACAACTTCCTAACTATTTTTACAAATCTCATTAGGAATTTCACAAGAGGTTATTCATATTACAGCTGAACTACTGCATTGGACTAACGCAGTATGTCTTGTGGTAAATACTTTTAATAAGTATATTGATAAAAAGTTTAGTTCACTAACTTAGGTGGACCTTATAAAACCAGACAAGATTATGTTGTTGATAAAATCAAGTTAACTAACCTATATATTCTGATATTACTCATGATATATCAAACAATCAAATGAATGTTTTTAATAACTGATATGAAGTGTGAGTTTATGTACTTTCAGTCATACTGCTATGTGTGGTCTAGTAGTGACAGTCTTCAGATACTCAAACCGAATTGGGTAGAACGGTGTTTGAAACTAAAATTTGTTAGTCGATAATAGTGTTTCTTCTACGATATACGTGATAGTAACTATGAGATTTGAGTATTTAACGCACTAGTAACAGAACTAATTTAGCACATTCTCTCAATATACAAAATATTCCAAACAACAATAGAATTATACGCCTGAAACCTATGATAACCTTAATATAATCACAGTTAATGGATTATATCTGAATAGTTATTAAGTACATAACAGAGCGTGATATTTATCTGATTGTTTGTTCAGTAAAAAACGAACACGCTGAAATTTGAAAAAATAGGACACATAAATACGACGTACATGTTCTACTACTAATTATGTATTTCCTACACGTTTTTCAGAAATCCTAAGTTATGGATTGAGCTTTGAAATTTCTTTCATAAACATTGCGGCTAGACGATATTTTGGAAGTGATTCAGTTTAGTTTTAACTTTTATTATTATACAGACACTAATGAGAAGTATTAGTAAGTAAAGAATATTGGATAGGTCCTACTTTGAAACAGTTCGTCAATACACGCTAAGTGGACGTACACGGGGGATCGAACGCAAGAGCTTTAAGTCTCGTGGTGAGCAAGATACATATAGACAGAATTTAATAACACTATAAAATCCATTGAGTCAGTGTTTACGCGCAGATAATGATAATCCAACTCAACAAGTAAAAACTAGACTTTGAGAGGCCTAGTGCTACTACCTACCTGCCTAAACCAGAATAGATGGAGGTTAATTGCGAACTGAAACGTAAAGATTGAAAACTGAACGTCTTAACCACTTACCCACCGCTTGTTGGACAAGGCATACGACATGCAGTCACTATATTCTAGGTTTGAATCCTGCTCCACCTACTTCGGTTCGGGCAACTAGATTGTACTATCAGCCG